AGCCAGCAAATTAGTCTAATAAATAACTAAGGACGACTGCCCGTTTTTTGAAATTATAACGCAAATACGGGCGGTTATTAAAAAATTGTACATTTCAAACCTATCGCAAAACTGTATTTCGCAAATAAAATTGATTCAAACTGCAAGAATAGTCGAGTGTTTCTTCAATGGAAAAAACACAGCTAAACTGTGAAATATAAAAGCAATAATTCACTTTGTTCAACTAAAAATGGCATGATGATGGTTCAATGGAACTCAAATGAGTGTCCCTTAGTGTGCATTCACAAAACAGCCACTTGTAGACCGCGGGGATGTCTCCGTATGTAACTCTTTCGTCAGATAACCCATTATATTGGCGTGAATTCCAACAATACAGATAAACCCGTCGATGCCAACATAAAATACTGCCCCCTCTGTCTGACAGAAAATCTGTGACTTAATCAAGGACAATGCTCCAGGAGTGTAGCCCAAATACGCCAAGGAATACCAGAGTGTGATTAAGCACTGCGCGGACGCATTCACTTGGAGTGACACGCAGTTAGGGCGGACAGGCCTAGTAAAACACCGAATAGACACAGGAAACGCCCCGCCGATAAAGATTCCTCCTGGACGCATACCGGCATTCTGGATGAACGAGTTATCCAAGACCATACAGCATGTGGAGGAATGCAACGTCATCCAACCTTTCCTTTGGTCTGCAACCAATGGTGCTAGTACGAAAGAAAGACGGCGGCCTCCGCTTGTGCGTCGATTACAGAAAGCTGAATAAAAGTGACCAAGAAGGATACGTTTCCACTTCCGAGGGTCGACAATCTGTTCGATGCTCTGTTTAACGCGAAATACTTCAGTACTCTGGACTTAACATCTGGATACTGACAAGTGGAAGTAGATGAAAAAGACCACTCCAAAACAGCTTTTTCCACACCTTCGGGGCTCTACGAATTCCAGACGATACCGTTCGGGTTAGTGAACGTCCCGGCTACGTTTCTACGATTAATGCAACAGGCCTTGAAGGGTCTGGTCCAAAACCAAAGCCTCGCTTATCTGGACGATATAATTGTCCACGGAACCACGGAAAAGAACCATTTGGATAATCTAAAAGCAGTCATCGATAGGCTGAGAAAAACTGGCCTCCGCCTGAAACCGGAAAAATACCGTTTTATGCAGTCTCAGGTTGTATACCTTGGACACACCATCTCGACAGCAGGAGTTCACACAGATCCAAACAAAGTCGAAGATATGCAACCCTGGCCTACACCACAGAGTTTAGAAGAAGTCAGAAGCTTCCTAGGTCTATCATCTTACTACAGGCGATTCATTGTTAACTTTGTTAGAATTGCATCGACCCTACTCTTCATATTGTAAAATAACAAACCATTTAGATGGGACTTCGAATGCGAAAAGTCATTTCAAACACTGAGAAAATTCCTTTGTTCAGCGCCCATTTTGATAATTCCTGACACGTCTTCGTCCGCTGAGTAGTTTATTCTTGACACAGATGCCAGCGACATAGAAATCGGTGCAATACTGTCACAAATCGGACGAGACGGAAAGGAACACGTTATAACCTACGGGAGTCGATGCTTAAGCAAAAGCGAAAGAAACTACTGTACCACTCAAAAGGAGATGTTGGCACTGGTATTCTTTCTGAGACATTACAGACACTACTTAGTCGGCCGCAAATTCATTGCTCGTACTGACCACCAATCCTACCGAGTCTTCTCCGTGATTGGAACATACTACACTTATCCATATTCGACCGTCGAGTCGACTGATCCAGGAGGCAGTCCTGTTTGATTACGCAAGAGCGGCCGCAAATAAGAACATCCTGATGAAGAGACTGTACCCGATTTTCCATCTCATTTCACTTACCATTATATTTCAAATAATGCGCTCCACCATCTCGAGAGTGATGAGCGTCACGTTCAGTGACCCGTAGTTTGCCGAATCCTCTCGATTATCACCATGTTATGTTGTTGTGGTGACTGGGACCATCCAGTCATGAGATGTTGTCCCTTCTGCGAGTTAGGTGTTAACACTAGTGCCGCTAGAAAGACACAGCTAATTAACCGAGAGCTTGATGATCGCTGCACAATGGAAAATGCAGACTACTCACCCAGTCGAGAGTAAGCCCAAGGTGTGTTGAAATTATTTTGCCTTCTATTACTTTCAACTATCACGAGTTCTCATAGGATCCTGGATTTTGCACAATTTTGGTGAGTTCCATCGTGCGTTCGCTCTGTTCCAATTTCCTGCTGCGAATTTTCATATCAGGTAAGGTTTTACAGGACTGAATACGGCCATGGCCAATCTAGCATCCATAACTTTTGCGATGATAGACTTACAATGTGAATACACAGGTGTGATGAAATAAAAATGAGAAATAGAACCCATTACCATCAAATTGTCGTTCTCTTCTAGGTGCAAACATGTCAAACCTCGCAATCAAGCTGTTTCTCGCTCCGGTATATTCCTTAGGATTGACGAAATACGGTCGATCGACTGCGTTCTATGCTCGTGACAGTTCAACCCGTTTGCGGTCGTAAATTGGTGAACTCGACGTGATCTCTGTAAACCATTTAGTTTAAGCACATCACCAGTCAAATTTTTAGTGAATCCAGCGCACACAAAAAAGTCATTTTCTCTCCCTAAGTCTTGTAGCTTGAGGGTGGAAGCAATACTCATTGGTGAAAGTTACTTCTACAAAATACAAGAGTTAATTTGAATGACGAAACGACGAATGAAAGCACACTACTTCACAAAACGACAAACCGATCGATTGAGTTTTTGTGCATTTAATCACCTATCAATTCTACGCAAGTAAAACATTACCAAAGATGGTCCCCGCCAGCAGTTCACGCAACCACACGTACCCGCACGATTTAGAAATACAACTGACCTCGGTGACGCAACGTTTTCAACTCAGTTTTCGAAGGTGAGCGAAGAATCACTCCTAATGTGGAACAAGAATACGATCCAAACGTCAGGTGAGCTTAACAGTTGTTACTCGATTGCAGTACATCTTCGTATGTCAAGCAGGCCATCGCAGGCAGATAGGCAGCCTTTTTGGAAGATGTGCGTTTTGCAGCTCAAAAGCAGACTGAGGACCGTCTACCTGCTGTGTGAACACCCTCGCTGACATCACGTTATTTCGACGGACTTAACGGTGATTAAAGTATTCCAGGTAAGTTGCAAAGACTGTAAGATAATTCATGGCCGAAGAAAACGTTCGCAGATTGGACTAATGTTATTTGCAAACGCAACAAGCATTAGGGCCAAAGTGATGATGCCAAGATTTTACGCATGACCTAGTGCCTTTGAAATTCGAATGGGTGCTATGAAATGACAATAATTGTTGTAATCAGCTCAACATGTTTGTCGCTAACGATGTGAGGATTTCGCTCTCCCGACCCCTGAATCACGGCTTTTGGTCCCGACTGCGGCACAAAACATATGCATTCCTAACGCCTTCTAACAGGGACGAAACAGCTGGCCAGTACTGTTTGGCAGCCTTTATACAAGAATTTCATCGAAAATAGATGACGATCATTTGCACGGGGAGGACGGAGAAGGCGTTCCGAAATCTGAATCCATGAAACTACCAGTTCGGAGAGGTGAAAACCAATTTCACGCCCGCACCAAATAAAGCACAACGACAATTCCCAGAGTAGACAGACTGATGTATATGTGTATATATGCATTTCCACATTATCATTAGCGTTTAATATGGTTGTGTGTGTGTGTACATACATGATCGGATCTTTCCCCTTAAGTTCCCGCAGCAATAAGTTCGAATGGAGCAGACCGCAGGGAGGGGGATGAGGGAATAAAATGTGACCAAAATGTGAGATAGAAGAACACGTCAACAGAGATACCCACCATATAGTGAGCCAGAGAGCGCGGGGGGGGGGNGACGAAATGCACGACTGACACTGAGAGGACTAGTACCTCGGTAGAGAAGAGGAGGGTGACAGAGGAATTGATACACAGAGTCGGACTATCCGAGTGACAGACTCGATCGTCAGTGTGTATGCACACGCAGTACTGGTGTCGTGTATAGCACAGAAACGGACTAATGGTTTTGTGTGTTGAACCATGCGTCCGAATTGTATGCTCTGATCAGTGGACGATCGACTCGACTCAACTGTGTCTCGGTGTCCACAACTTTTTATAACCGGGATGGAGGACAGTAGATGTTGTCCAAACAAAACATCAGATTGGAACAGAGTTGGAAGAAAAAACCACCGACGGGTGGGTATATCCGTGACTGGGAGAGCACAAAATAGCCGGAAATAATGTGACACGAATGAGAGAAATACATACGGGAAAAGGTCGGGGGGGGCTAAAGGGGAGAATGAGAGAGGAAGGAACGTTGCCAGTGACGTCCAATGCGGGACAGAAAAGGATCCGGTCAAACGATGGACTATATCCAGATGGATTAGCAACGGTGGCAGTTCCAGAGTTCAGCAGGCGTGACAAGAAACATAGTCAAACAGAAGTGAGTGCAAACAAACAGACAGACAAACAAAAATCAGGCGAATACACTGAAACACTTCACAAAAATAGGAAGCAATCAAACGGAGAAAAGGGGAAATGCGTGTTTTAGATATGGGAATTGGTGAAAATTATTGAAAAATGAATACCATCCAATGATTGTATACGGGGATCATGTGGGCGAACATCAATCAGTTCATCTGTTCGCCTGGTTTACCGAATAGGGGTGTCAGTGTGTGGGAATAAATGCCATTTCGCGAGCATACATACGGAAATAAACACCAGTATGCACAAAGATGTATAGAGATACTTGTGTATATGAACGGATTTTTGTATGCACATATAATTGCTACCAGAATAGGTCTTTATGTAAGCAGTTCGAAAAATCTGAGAAGTGATTCATTGTTACTCTGACACGTCTACAAGCAGTCTGATTGGCACGATGTTCAGTAGAACTGCAAGCTAGTTAGGCCTTCAGCAACACATTGGAGTACATAGCAAAAAAACTAGGCCGTTGTTGACGTCACGGTTCGGTTGGTCGATCCGCGTTTCGATGGACCGCCCAGAATGGCATCGTCATCGTCCTCATCCTCGTCATCTCCAGCCGGACTGCAGCTTTCCAATTCGTCCGCATTCAGATCGTCTCCGTCGTAATCACCATCGCCATCTTCGTCGTCCCCTTCCGCATCATCATCCGGGATCATGGTCGCTCGACGGGCGGTTTGGGACTCACAACCAATCGGCAAATCCGAGTAGGCATGTTGAGCCGAATTACGTCCCGAATCGGTTGGATCCATGGTGTTCGTGGGAACAATCGACTGTGGTGAACAACCAGAGCCGTACCAACCGGTCGCATCGGCGGTTACCGATGCAGATGAACCCGTGGAAGGAAAATTCAACGACTGCAAATGTGACGTGTGATGATGATGGTGATGATGATGATGCGCAGCTTGAGCAAGATGGGGCACATGAGCCGATGAACCAGTTCCATAAGACTCGTCCGTTAGGCCAGAGCCGGAAACATTGAAACTCGGTGGCACACAGAGTTCACCAGGAACGGAATCCGTTAGCGACATCAGCAATGAACCGGATTGATGATCCAAGTCCGGCCTGTGTCCTTGTGTCTGCCCAGAAGGTGGCATCGAATCACCATAAACTGGTGCCGAAAAAAGAGTGACAAAACAACAAGCATTATTCGACGCTCTGCTAAACTTAAAAAACAGAACAGAACTCGCAAGGAAAAATAGAAGACAGAATAGTTACAGTCTAGGTTGACTAATGTGCATGAACCTTTTCAGAGCAATGACAGATCTGAGCTAACTTATGGGTGAAATGAGACGTGTTAGGAGTGTATCGAAAAATCGATGCGCCATGTGTTGTTTTATTGTGAAAGTTATAGAGTTAATAACACAGCGATGTCGGTAGAGAATTATATTCGCCNGGCGAATATAATTCTCTACCGACATCGCTGTGTTATTAACTCTATAACTTTCACAATGAAATGAGACGTGGTTCTGAAGAGCATGGCCACTTTCGGTAGAATTATCTATCTATCTGGTCTACTTACAGTTACATGTGACACTTATCATATCTGGCTGTTTCCCTATTCTTGTTCCCTAAACTGGTTGGCCAATTGCTTGTCCTACTCATTCGTTCCGTCAACCCCAATCTCACTATCAATAAATTGAATTATGCAGGCTGGAAAGAGAATCACTAGAAACATATATTCATTTATAGATAAATAGATAAATAAAAAGCATACCATTTGACGGAGGAATCACGGGAACACGTAATTCGTAGTTCACATTTGGTGTAAAACTGGACCCCAGTGCACCCGTCGCCGAATTGATGGACCCAATCGAGGTGGTCGGATGCGAGGTGGTCCCAAATCCCATACCGGTTCCGGTCACCGTTGCACTCCCAAGTGAAGTCGAGTTGCTCAAACGAGGCAGACCGAGACCGGTTCCAGGCGTGCTACTGCCTGTGCTGTTATTGAAGTGATTCTCGCTTTTTTCTTCCTCGCGCCGTTTTAGACAGGCTTGTTTCGGGTTCAGATTTCGTTCTGCAACAAACGCAACACACGAGACAAAAAGGTACCCAGAGTCAAATACGTCGGCGGATATCGAAACTTTTATCTTACATGCATTCACACGCGTGTGTAGATATTCGTGCACAGCGAGGAGAGTTAGGAAGGCGACAAATGGAGCAATCACAGTCCGGGGGGGGATCAAAGCACGAGTCACAAGTTCACCATATAAATACATCGAATTATTACAAACGCGTGCATGGTTACACTGCCATTCATCAGAGGTTTCGTATAACAAGAACGGTGTTGTGAAACTACTTTTACAGTTTATCGGAAAATGTTAGCATTATGGTCAAATCAAGCTACCTTTCAGTTTGTAACGGTAAGTGTACTATTTTGTAATCTTATTTTACTTTTTATGTTCATTAGAATATATTCGCATTAGTGTCCACAAATGCCTCAATGTGGTCGGGAATGGGTACCTCGGGCTTCAAAAATGGTCATTCGTCCAGGACTCCTTTAGAAATGCTCTCAAACGACCAAGCGCCTCAAGTAGCTTCTGCTGAGGAATTCCAACCCACTGCCTTCTCAAGTGTGAGAGCAAAAGCGAATGCCCGGCGTTTTCACCAGGTTGACCAATTGATAGTCTTGGGGAGTTGGCTAAATCCTGATTCCAAACCACCCACACTTGGCGTAAGAAGCTTCTAGTGACACCAATCCTCGGTGCAACTGAACCGGTCTCCAAAGTTAACCTTTGGAGTTGACCACCGTGATCCTCATCGGTAAATGCGCGGCTTAATGGCAATTTGGGTACCCTGGATATTTGGCCACATCTGAAAAGCGTATAACCTGGTCCCCCAACCACCGGCTCCCAGAGGATCGTGGAATCCCTACTCCACCCCACTGCCTTTTGGATCAGGTTCTTTAGCCAAAGGCTCCGGGTAGGGTCCCCCAAGAAAGCCCTCTACTTCGACTTCAGTAACTGAGTGGTTACACGACCCCAATCTAACCATGGACTCATGTACCAAAACACACCTCAGACGCTCACAATCACGCG